CCAAGAGGGTCAGGATTAGTCACTGCTCCCTTCGCTCTGCTCGGGGACCCCGACTCACCCGAGCGCTTTTCCGCAGGCTCAGTACCACCAAAACCGATTTTGCAGCATCCTCCCGTAACTGCCGACTGGGAGGAGAGGACCCAGGAGCCCCGGGGGGTCCGGGTGGTCCCCGCTCCCTCCCCTGGTCTGGGGGGGATTTTGACTTGTCCAGGACACCATCGTCCCCAGGACACCATCCACAGCTGGCCAGGGCTCTCTGGGCACCCAGAAAACAGGCATTGCCCCGCTGCCAGCCCCTTTCCACTCGTCTTATACATATTTTATTGCTTGGGCACCATCTCCCTGCCCACTGGCACCTCTTGATCCAAGACGCTTGGTATCGCAGAGAGTGAGACAATCCACCAAGGACCTTCATCTCAAGTACCCCAATTCACATCTGGTACTAAATTACGTGGTCAGTGCTATCAATACCCCATTAAAACCCGTGATAGAGTGCTTCACTATTGCAGCTACGCTTTGTCCATCACCACCTTTGTTCATTCATCGTCTTTTATCCTCTCCTCCCTCAGCCTGACTCCAATACCCCATTAAAACCCGTGATAAAGTGCTTCACTATTGCAGCCACGCTTTGTCCATCACCATCTTTGTTCATTCATCATCTTTTATCCTCTCCTCCCTCAGCCTGACTAGTAGGAGCGTATTAGGGATGCGCCACGCATCCAACTTGGAGTTGCGAGCCATTTACCTTCTATATGAATATTTATACTCGATCTGCCCGTCCGCCCGGCACACAGCTCGCGATTTCTAAAGGTCTTAATAGCTGACAAAAATCCCCAAACAATCCGAACCGAGTATTTCACGGAGAGGAAAACATACATACCCCAAACACGGCCGAGGGAGATCAGCAGCCAGAGACACACGCTGCAGCCCATGCCTCGGTTCATGCAGCCTCCGCGGCAGTGGAGGTAGTATCTGCTGCCGGGCTCATTATAAGAACAGGTGTACTCAAATCAGAGCCGCTGCCCTGGGCCATGTGTTTCCTGTTTTTGGCTGAATGACTCTTTTATTTTTTTTTTTTCTTTCTTGAGTGGAAAGTATTCAAAGCACTGAGTCGTGCTGCTGAATGCTTCACCGGAGACAGCCCAAGAGATCTGCAGAAGGAAGCAAGAGCATCGATTTATAGTTCGTAGCAGAACTGCATCATCCTGCCACGGGTCCTTAACCCGACCCCAAAAGAAGAGGAAACGACCAGCAAGAAAATCATTTCACGTACGGTAACAGCGTCCCGGGGCTGTACAGAGCCTTCAAACCCTGCTACCGCGGCGGGGGCGGAGGCGGCCGCTCCCCCCACGTGGCAGCATCCCAACCGCTGCCGCTCCATCCCAGCGCCGTGGGGCTGGAACCCAGCACGAAGCGTGCGCCGGTGCTCGCGGCCACGATGCCCACCGGTGCGGGAAAGGCCCAAATATTCTGGGATTAACGCATACCCCTGCTTTGGGCTGTATGGGATGTACAGCGAGGAAGAGTATGGGTGGTCTTTAAAAAACTCGGCGAGGAAAAGCCCAATCCGCGTTCTCAGGCTGAGGGAGGTGGATCTGGACTTCGATCTGCTCCCGTTCAACGCCGTAGCGAGCGCTCGGGGATGGGGACGGTCCCCCCTCCTGCTGGTGTCCCTCCGGGTGGGGACAGCGCGGGGACCGCAGCCTCCCGCGCTCAGCGGAGAGCCGGGGACAACACCCCTCGCTTGTTCCGCTGCTGGAAAGGGGCGAGAAAAGCTTGGTTGTTTTTGTGTTTTTAGTGGAATGAATTATTCACCTCCATCGGCACTCGGCCCGCGCAGCTTTAAAATGGGAGAAGGTGTTTTTTTTTTTTCCTATTGCTTTCTTCAAGTTTTCGTTGCTTTTTCTGGTTTTCAGAGGAAAGCAGAGGCGACAGCATGAAGCAGAAATTCCTCTGCTGTTTTAAACCAAATTTGAGTGCCACAAGGAAATAAAGGGTGAACTTATACCCACCGCTTTTCAGTGGAGCCAAGCTCCGAGACCTCTGTGAGTTTTGTTGCCATTAAATTATTTCTAATGATAAAAAAGTCTAAAACCACACTAAAGCGCCCTGGCATCCTGAGCTAGGCTGCTCCTTCCCGCTCGGAAAGCATCTGGCTGAGAAAGAAAAAAAAAAACCAAACCAAAACTCAAGCCATTTCCCAATAATCAGCAGTTCACAGAAGGGAAGAGCTCAGCAGAGGCGTAAAAAAGAAAAGATGAGTAAGAGCGGTACGAGGGGACTCGGCTCCTTTTCTCACCTCGCACACGCAGGGAGCTTCGGCTGAGCTGAAATGCGGCGGTGGTTCCTACCGGAGGCAGCCGGCTCCCGGACCAAGCGCTTGGCCAGATAATGGAGGGGCGAAGACATCGCCTTGGGGTATTTTGCAGAGCAGCGAGCTGCCCCTGCACAAATCCCACCCGAAGAGCCGGTGGTCAGGAAGGAGGTCTGCGGTGGATGGGCTCCACCGGCTCAGCCCCCCAGGCAGGGCAGCAGGATGGTCCCCAACCCTCCCCTTGCCACGGATAGGTGCCCCACGCTTGGGTGCAGGCTGTGCCGGCATGGAGAAGACCATTGACTGCAAACTGGTCCAGGAAAGCCATAAAACCCCAATATCACCCATGGGGCACTACCACAGCAGCATGTCCCGGGCTGGGCTGGCACCGGCCAGGAGAAATGGGAAAAATTATTTAACAAGCAAAACCTTCAAGAAAAAAATCCTTCCAGGAAGCATGAAAAACATACAAGCAGTCGCAGAAAAACCTCCTTTAACCAAAAATAATGATCCTAAATGCCTTTACTTTCCCCATCAGCTCAGGCTGAAGTCTCCCGGCTGGAAAGGTGACTGAGGCATGGCACCAGGCTCCGTATTTATTCATCGCAGGAGGTTTAATGATGATGCTGGTGCTCAGCGGTCGTCCTGGATTTGGGCAGAAAGGCAGAAGAGCCCCAAACCTCCATATGGGAATGGATCAAGACCCATTCAAGGGGGGAGGATTTCTGCAAAAATATACATTGGTGCTAAAACCATCAGCAACCCAAAAAAAAAAGAGCCGCTCATTAGACCCAGGAGCTGGAACGACTCGCGCTCGTTACTGATTTTTCAAACGAACCGGCGAGGTCCCTGTTGACCCTTTGAATCTGGCCTTAGGAGTCTTTGCTTAAAGATGGCTCTGGAAAGGGACGCCTCTTGGGTTTTACGGAGGATAGAGCCCGGTTCTGCCCTTTCTTGGACTGGTTTGCTGGAGTTGGCAGGAGCAGCAGCGTCCCAGGGCTGCGGTGGCCCTGAGACATGTCCCCTTCCCTCCTTGCAGGCTGAGGGACCATCTCCATCACTCACAAGACACATCCTCCCACCCCAATGGGCCCGTATCCCACCACCTGGAGCCGGCTTTTCCCGTGGGAGACAACTGTGGAAGGGCTCCTGTCCCCAGCAAGGGTGCTGGGGGGGGAAACGCGGCTCCCTCCATCATCCCCCCGGTCCCCGAGCACCCGCTGCGGCCGACTCCAGCCCAGAGGATAATGCAGAACAGGCATCTAAAAATGTGGGGTTTAAGGTTAAAATTAATTTAATGTATAGACAGGCAGATATTTCTGAAGGCAGAGACCATACTCGCCCTGC